TAGGCCAGGCCGCGCCGGGCGCCAGCACGCGCTCCTTCGCTGGGTCAGCCTGGAGCACCCTCTCAGGCCTTAGCCAGTACTCAAGAAGGCTGAAGTGGAGCAGGGAGCTCTCATCTGGGAACAGCCTCACTGAGTCCCCGGGGAGCCAGTAAACATCTCCTACTCTAGGAATGAGCCTCTGAAAGCGCTTAAGGGCTGGGCATCTGCTGGGAGGCGAGCCTTCCACTTTCTCCGAGCCGAGACCCTCCCCAGGCCCGGGGCCATTCAGGGTCCCTAGGAAGCTGAGTACTTAGGCCCCCTTTGTCTCCGTTGCCCCCCCACCCCCGCCTCACCCACCCTCCGTCTCACCTCCCACCCCCTGTCCTCTACACCCAAGTCTGCAAGCTGGTCGCTCGCCCCTCTAGGCTCCCCAAGGCAGGAAGCTGGGTGACGCCTCTCCCTGTCTCCCCCCACCTCACCCCCAGGAGAGGTTTGCAGCCCACGAGGGAATGAGGCCCATGCGGGCCGTCTTCACGCGTCAGGGTCATATCTTCACCACGGGCTTCACCCGCATGAGCCAGCGAGAGCTGGGCCTGTGGGACCCGGTAACGCAGCTGGAAGCTTGGGGTTTGTGCCCCAGGGACTGGCATCACGGGAGAGGGACCAGGCGCCCTCTACCCACAGGGCATGCTCACCTGGACAGGGCTAGGAGCAGCTGCCATCTTTGCAGCGCCTACTGTCTCCACACCCCACTGCCCAGTTTTGCTGCATCGCCTGAAGGAGCCCTCGCTGGCGCCCCCACCTGGTGATGCCGAGTCCCTGGGGGTGGTTTGCAGTGACTGCATGCAGCGGCGCGGAGGGGCATATGTACAGGAGCGGGGACTGGGGGTAATGTGTCCATGGGAGGGGCTTGCCTCTAAGTTCACCAGAGCTGCGGTGGAAACGCATGGCAGTTTGGGGCGGGCAAGAAGTGTAAGGAGCTTCAAGGGTTCAGAAGCGGCACAGAAGGCACGATAGGGCTGGTCACGCCTCCTGTGCTCGGGCAGAACAACTTCGAGGAGCCAGTGGCACTGCAGGAGATGGACACAAGCAATGGGGTCCTACTGCCCTTCTACGATCCTGACTCCAGCATCATCTACTTATGCGGCAAGGTGCTTGTGGCTCGGAGGGGAGAAAAGGGGGCTGGAAGGAGATGTGGAGGGCACCTTCCAGTTGCATTTCTGAACCCACTGGTTTTGCAGGGCGACAGCAGCATTCGGTACTTTGAGATTACCGACGAACCACCTTTCGTGCACTACCTGAACACGTTTAGCAGCAAGGAGCCGCAGAGGGGCGTGGGTTTCATGCCCAAGCGGGGACTGGACGTCAGCAAGTGTGAGATCGCCCGGTCAGCAGCCTTTGCCCTTCCAGCTTGCCTGTCTCTGTCCCCACTTCCCATCGGAGAAGACCCAGGGGCTTCCCCAATAATGTAATCTTTGGAGAACAGTGGGTTAGGGAGGAGTCAAACAGGCTCGTTTCCAGTGCCAGCCCTAGCGCTAACTAGTTTGACTTTCTCTGAACTTCAGTTTCTTCATCTGTAAAATGATAAACACCCCATCAGGGGTGTTTTACCAGTTAGACCAACAATGTGTTTAAAGTGTAATGCATAGTAGGTGCTCAGCAAGTGTTAGCCTCTAAGCCCTTGGTCCCAGGCGAGAGACTGCAGAGATGCTGAACCCCACTCCCTTATAGGTTCTACAAGTTGCATGAAAGAAAGTGTGAACCCATCATCATGACTGTGCCCCGCAAGGTGAGGGCCTGGGAGAGGGGCTGGAAGGGCTCTGAGGCTGAAGGGAGCAGAGCAGGCCCAGAACTCTGCTTAATGATTGTTCTGTCCCCCCAAACCCCTCAGTCAGATTTGTTCCAGGACGACCTGTACCCAGATACACCTGGCCCCGAGCCGGCCCTAGAGGCAGACGAATGGCTATCGGGCCAGGACGCAGAACCCGTGCTCATCTCGCTGAGGGATGGTTACATGCCCCCCAAGCACCGCGAGCTCCGGGTCACCAAGCGCAACATCCTGGACGCACGTCCACCCACCGGACCCCGCCGCAGCCAGTCGGCCAGTGACTCCCCCTTGTCGGTAAGATCCGACCCAGCTCCACCCAGGCCCAGTCTACACCCTCCCCTTCCACCCAACACAGCTTCTTCTGTCCTCCACATCCCAGCAGCAGCACACCCTTGAGACGCTGCTGGAGGAAATCAAGGCGCTTCGCGAGCAGGTGCAGGCCCAAGAGCAGCGCATCACGGCCCTGGAGAACATGCTGTGCGAGCTGGTGGATGGCACAGACTAGTGTAAAGGCTCAGAGCCTGGAAGGCCCGCCCCGGCTTTTGGTCTTGAACAGACCGGGTCTCTCTGGGCTGGGGCCGGGAGCGGGACTGGGAAGGGAACTCCCTCCCTCACAGGAGGCCTAAGACAAATGGAGCCTTGCATCTGTCTGGCGCCGGCAGGTCTGCGTGCCTCGTCCACGACTCAGCAGGAGCTGGCCTCGGGTGGCCCGGGGTGATGGGGCCTCAGCAATGGTGCTGCTTGGTGAGGCGGTGTCCCCTTTGTCCCCCGCCCAGGGCAGAGGAAATGCTTAGTATTAGCTCAATGCTTGGAGATATTGGGGAACTTGGGATTGACCTCAAAGGGGTAGCAGCGTTCCGACAGGTGTCCCAAAAATGACTGAGGAAAATTACAAGGCTTCTCCCCTCTAATCAGCTCACTTGACTCCACTCCCCTGAATGGTAAGCTGGTAGGGTGTCACCCCAGTTCTACAGACATACACAACCCGTTGGCTGTAGAGCTGGACCCACTGGTTACACCCAGCAGAGGGCTCTCTTCCTTCTTCCCACCCGCAGGGGAGAGGGCCGCTTCCTCGCTGCCCGCTTCGCCCACCTGAGAGCAAACGGGAGAACTGGCCTGAGGAAGCAGGTACACACACACACACACTCACACACACACACACACACTCACGCTCACACTCACACTGCCCCCAGCCCTCTGTTGTGGCCTTGACTCTAAGAGGAAATTAAATCTTTTACTAAGTGCTCAAAATGTATCTCCTGTATGGGTGGGGGTGAGGGAAGACAAAACCCTCCAGCTTCTGCAAATGCTACCCCCAAGCTCCCAGACCCGCTGACAGATGCACCCCTGGCTGGGCTCAAAACCCACCAAGCATCCTCTTACCTCAGTCTTCCCCACACTGAGGTTCGGAAGGAGCCCCCAGACCTCAGGTGGGCATTCTTCCCAAGTAAAGGCAGGTAGGAAAAGGCTTGGGTTTGAAGCCTCTTTAATTTGTGCCTCAGAATCAGTCTGGTGCCCCTGGCATCAGGGAGGGGGGTGAGAGGAACAGTTTCTTTTTGTTCTTCCATCCCTTTTGTGTCCCTTCTGAACCTCCCTGGCTGAGCCAGGAAGGCCAGTATGAGAGAACCCAGACAAGGGTTTGCAATGGGCCCCTGCCCCTGACAGGGTCTGTGCTTCTCTGGGTGGGTGGGTTGGGGCAGGGGAGAGCCGGGGGTTAGCACCATTGGATGAAGGGTTTTAGAGTCAGCCCCTGGTGGGGGCAGTGGGACACACAACCACAGAGGGCTAGCAGCAGCTGGTGGGAAGGGGTGGGTGGTGGTACTAGGGCCCTGGGTGACCCCTCTCGGTCCAGTCTAGTATAGGGTCTAGTGTTTGTCCCCAGCCCAATATGTCCCCCCATTTGCCAAGACAGCATGAGGGAGTCAGGCCTTGCCCAGGTGGGTGTGTTGGGGGGGGCGCACCTTGGGCACCCTCCCTGACCACAGAAACGTGTCTTGAGGAAGGGGATTCCAACCTTTGGCCGCCAAAATTGAAACCGGGACCACCCTGAGACCTGGGAGGGGTGTGGGGGGCTGGGGGAGCCAGGCACCCCGCTAAGTGCACTTGACGCTGAAATGCTGGGGTGGGAGAGGGGCTGGGCCCTTGACGTGCTGGTTTGTGTCTGGAACAAAGCAGCAACACAGCACGTGGGGAGCTCAGCTGTCCCCCGCCTCCTCCTCCCCCAGGGATGAAGAGCGGAGATGCAAAGGCTTGACGGGCAGTGTCCTGGAGTGGGGTCAGTGAGCAGAAAGTAGGGCTGGCCAGAAGGAGCAAGGATGGGGACACTGCTCCTCTAAGGTCCCCTCTCCGGCTTGAACAGGCCTGAGCCCAGGGGAGAGGGGTGGGGTCAGGATACAGCAAAGCAGGGAGACCCGGCCGTGCCAGCTGCCTCCAGGACCCTGGCCCAGAATGGTACTCTGTGGCCTTGCCGAACCCCTCCCGGTCCTGTGCCTAGTGCTTCACTATGCCCCTGTGGCGGTGGCTCCAGCCTCTAGCCGCATCTGGGCAGGCATATGGGGCCAGAGAGTGTCTCGCTCCGGGACGGGTCAGACGTGGTGTGGCCGAGGGCCTGCAGTGGCGCTACTGCTCTGTTAGTGAGAGCTGTAGGATGCGCTCCAGCTCCTCCTCCTCCTGGCGCACGCGCCGCCGCCGCTCCTCCTGCTCCTGCGCTGACAGCTCCATGGCCAGCCTCAGCTGCTCGTCGTAGGTCCGGAACACCCGGCCGCTGGGGCCCGGGCCGGGGCTAGGCCGAGGGCTGGGGACCGCGGCGCGGGGCGCAGGCTGGCGTTGCGGCGTGGGTGGGGTGCTCCTGGGGGTGGGGAAAACACGTCCAGGGCTCTGGGCGCACCTGCCAGGTGAGCACAGCCGGGAGCCAGCATGGAAGTCCCAGGATACCTCCAGTGGAGGTGAGGAGTCCCATTTTATCTCCTCGGATCCTATCCAATTGTGGCAGATCCTAACCCCTACAAAGCTCATCTTCCCAGTGGAAGGTGGCCCAGGGCATGTGGGCATCTTCTAGAACCCTGGCCCGGACATCCTCTTTGGTGAGGGTCTAGCTGCCACAAGGCCTGGCTCCTCCTCCTGGGCCTTTTCTGGAGTGCTGTTCATCTACCCCAGTATCAGGAAAGGGTAGTGATAGAAGCCATCTTGATACCCGTAGGGTCCCCGGTGAGAGTATCATGGTTTCTCTGGGCCGAGAGGGACTACTCAGCCGGCAGTGTCCTCGCCTACTGTGACAGGGTACTGGGGTACTCTGCACATGTGGGGTGGAGGGATAGGCGTCTCCAAATCCCGGCAGGTACTGACCTGTCCTGTCGGTGCCCCTCGTAGGACATGGGGTAAGTGCCGGGCTTGCTGTTGGTTAGTGCCTCCCAGATGGTGACCTGGAGGGAGGGGGCGTGGGCCAGTTGGCTATGGCGGTGCAGCCGACTGGTTGCCTGGCACAGCCGCGGGGACACACCTGGTCATACTCACTGCCCGCCTCAAGCAGGCTCTGCTGGATGGCGAACTGCAGCAGGTCATCATCGTCGTCGCGGGTTGCCGACTCCCGCTGGCCTCCCAGCACGCTGTAGCCACGAGGGGCCTCAAACAAGGCTGGGGAGATCTCGCAACCGCGGCACGAGGCTGAAGGCAGGCTGGAGTCAGATTGGCTCCCCAGGAAGGGGCGGTGAGCACTGGGAGGGTGGGTGTGGAGGGGTAGAGACTAAATGGAAGGAGGGCTCAGAGGAGGACAGAGCTCACTTGTGGAACTGGAGCTGCTGACACTCGAGGAGTCGCTGCCCGGGGAAGGGGTCTCGCTGCTGGGGCTGCCTCGCACCAGTGGCACCGGCTCGTCGCAGCCATTGAGGTTCCCGAAGGTGATACGGGCGTTGAGGATGTGGAAGATCGGGATTTCTGAGGATTAAGAAACCATCAGGTACCACCACCTGCCCCCTCACACCTTAGCACCCCCCCAACTCTTTGCCTCATCTAAGCCCCATACCCCTAACAGCCGCTGAGAGGAAATGGGGTGGAGGTCTCACCAATCTTGACAGGGAAGCCAGGAGGCAGGCGCAGGGTAATGAAATCCCGGAGCTTGGCAAAAAGTGCATTGCTGACAGCCATGAGGTCAATGATGGGGGCCACCTGCTCACACAGGGACAGGGGATGCTCCTCACACAGCCACAGCTTGGCCTTGAACCTGCCCCCCCCGGATCCCAAGGGGTGAGGGACATTGGAGAAGCCATGGCCTCCCAGCATCTTCTGGAGCCCCTGCCCAGCTCTGCCCTGCCCACCCCTCCCCAGCACCAGCAGGGGGCCTCACTTCTGTGTCTTGGTGGTCAGTTCCATGGGGCGGCCCATGTCACGGTTGCCAAGCTCAAAGTTGGGATTGAAGTACTCTTCTGCAGTGATGGCAGTGGGGTTGGCTTGGCTCAGAGTCTGAGTGATCAAGGTCTGTACCATACCGGGAGAGACCCATGAGCCCTTCTCTGTCCCTCATTCCAGGCCAGACATTTTATTACAAGCCCTGAAACTGTCCCCACTACCACTGTGGAGCTGACATGGCCTTGGGCATTGTGGAAAAGAGGTCCACACAGGCCATGCTAAGCAGGATGCCTCCCAGGCCTCCTCCTGAGCCACATTCACACCCTTCCGCCCAGGATACCCGTAGCACACACTCACCCCATTTTGAGGGCCCCCATGCTGCTCAGCAATTCCCAGGAAGGACTGCAGAGGTGTTTTACAGCCTACAAGAAATGTGGCATCTCAGAGGACACAGAAGCCCTCAGAAGTGACAGCACCCAAGACCTAGGGAGGAAGCTGGTTCCTGGGGGAAGGGGAGATTGCTTATCCACACCACACATCCAGGCATCTTCATCTGAAGGTGACTGAGGAGTCCAAAGGGCAGGGCCAGGACCACTATAAGCACATCTGAAATAAAAGTAGGCCTGGGGCTCAGGGTAAACTTCCAAAAGTGTCAGTCTCTAGGTTGGTGACACTGGACAAAAAATACCTGCCTTTGGTGAGCAGTTTTAGGGTATGCACGGGAATGTGTATGTTTTGCTTCAGGTACTTCCATATTAATGACTTCATTTGTTCTCCTATGAGGTAGGAATTATGTCTCTCCACTTAGACAGACTAACTGATGCCCAGAAAGTCAGGTGTGGTATCAACAGGTACAGGACTGTCAGGGCCCCCTGACTTTCTCTGCCAAGAGTATATGTCCCACTAGACTAGAATGGCCAATAAATAGCATGCATGACATTTCTCTCCCTTCTCAAATCCAATGCAGACATTGTATAATGTAAATCAATTCTGTCCCATTGAGCCCAAATGTTGCTCAATGGGACATTAGAATCATCTTAGCAGCACTCTAGGCAGCCACCAACAATCATTAAGATTTGGCACTTGAATTGAAACCTATTTACCTAAAACAACTGCCCCGGCTTTTGCTAGGATGCCAGAGGGAATACTGATGGAGGTGCTCAAGTGGAAGCTGGTTCCCCCCACCTCCCACCATATGCCTCTACCTCATTACCTTTGACCTTGCCCTTGTGCTGTTCTGAAAGATGCTCTGTTCGTGTCCGGGTAATGAGTTCCACGTTGGATGCCCCATATACCTGGGGAAAGATGAGGAAAGGGCTCAAAGACAACTCTGAAACCCCCGAGGGTATCCTAAACACTTTCTGCAAGGAAAGGTGGTTGGGTGGGGAGGGAGAGCTGTTTGCTCCCATCTCCAGGCCTTTGGGTAAGTACTCTCCTATCTCAGGGCTTTTTTTTTCATTCATTCAACAAATACTTTGTGAGGAACCTTTATGTGCCAGGCCCTGAGGCAGGCATCAGGAATACAGTGCCGAACAAGCACAGCTAGACACAATCTCTGCCCGCTTGAGGCTCACAATCTAGTTGAAGAGACAAGAAAATGGACAATTATAATATAGTGTGGTACATGCTCTGGTGTGGGGAGCACAGAGCTGTGGGAACAAAAAGCAAATACTTTGACTCAGCCTACAGAACCAAGGAAGGCTTTCAGAAAGAAACAATACAGAACCCTGCAGTATCTGTTAGTCCCTTCGTTTAGCGGTAGCACCATGTGGTCCCACATGAGTGATGTGGGAGTCCCAGAGTAACTGACAGTCTTCTTAGGGGTATAGGCCTGGCTTTGGAGTCAGGCACCTAGCATCTGAACCTCAGCTGTCATGGTTGTGCGACTTTGTACAGGTTATTTAACTACCCCAAGCTTCCATTTCCTCATCATAAAATGGGCTGATATCCTACTTCATAGAGTTGTTGTGAAGATTAAATGGGATACCGTTTCAAAGGGCTCAATGAACATCTGTTAAATAGGAGTAATAATAGCCTTACCAGAAAGAGTTGTTGCTAGGATTCAATGAGCATGCATGTGTACGTGTGTGTGATATACATACATACATACATACATACATACATACATACATACGTACATATAAAATGTCAAAACAGTGCCTTGAACATGAATATATTAAGTGCTCAATAAATTCTGGCCTTTCTCATCAGTTGCCTCTTAGTCTAGTGCCCTTCCCTCCATGCTGCATAGCCTCTGTACCTCCAAGGCTGAGACAGGGTGGTCAGAAATCCCCTGCCCCACTCACTGTAGGCAAGATTGTGGTGGGGTCTGGCACCCAGGAGCTGGGGTCTCACCTTGGCTTCGTACCCATTCACCATCTCGGTCTTCTCACTGCGCCAGCCTAGGATGCCAGTCTTGTTCCTGGGAAAGCATAGTAGTCCACGTGAGGGGGCACCTCACCAGGCTGGCTCCAGGCTGGCTCCAGGCTATCAAGGCCATGCCCACTCACCTCTCAAAGGAGATGTTCTTGGTGTCAAGCTGTGTGGTGACGACGGGTGCAGTGAGCCGGCTCAGCACCTGCTCCTCGGTTGGCTGGGCAGCAGCCAGCAGCAGCTCGCGGTCCTGCCCGGCCAGCGCCAGAGTCTCCGTGTATACCACCCGGCGGTCATGGTCAATCTCCATGACCACAGCATTTGTATCTGCCAGCCACAGAATAGCACAGCGGGGTCAGGGGTGGCATGGAGCTGTCTCCAGCCTCCCGCCCTGCCCCACTTCCCGCCTTTCTGACCTTGGCCCCTGAAGACGAAACTACGGTTCCCTCGCTGCCACGTCATGTGGTCAAAGCCCAGGAGTGTGGTGTCTACCCGAAGGTTCTGGCCACTCTTCCACACTTTGTAGGTGTCACTAGGGCAGATCTTGGATACTAGGGGCACTAGGTGGAAGGAAAGGTCAGAAGTGGCTTCGATTTGCCTGGACCACCCAACATGGGCCACCTCAGGGCATGGGGGTCAGGGGTGTGTCCGAGAAAGGGTAAGGGAACTGGTGTGAGAAAAGCCCCTCCCCCAGTGACTCCCACACAAACATAGACTACAGTCACTCAGATATGAGCAATCTAGGGTCAGCGACAGGTGCGTCTCAGCTACCACCAAGTCCCTAGTATCTACCATTTGTTAATTTGTTCGTTCAATCTTTCATCCAACAAATATTAACGAATATTCCAATAAATATTTATTAAACATGAACTATGTGCCAGGCACTATTCTAGTCACTGGTGATTGCGACATTGAACAAGACAGGAACCCTGCCTTCTTGAAGCATGGTGACAAGTAACAAACAAATGAGCGAATCATTATAAAGTAAAGGAAATAATAACATACATACTGAGACAGTGTCTGAGACAGTGTCTGAGACAGTGTAGAAAGGCCTAGCTGAGGAGCAGGCATTGAGCTGAGGACTAAGAGAAGAGGAGCCACAGAAAGAGCTATGAAAAGAGTGCTCCAGGCAAGGGAGCAGCACGTACACAAGCCCTGAGGTGGGAGAGTGCCCAGAGGGGCCCCCATCAGCCCCTCTTACCCCAGCTAGTGAATTCCCATTTCATCTCCACGTAGAAGTCCTGGGCCTGGAGGACAATAAGGAGAGTGACTAGTCTTTGCCATAGACAGGGTTCAAGGCTAAGATGGGGAGACTGAGAGGCTGGCCCTCACCTTGCGCAGCTTCTCCAGGAGCATGGGGATGCCTGCCAAACGCTTCACCACCCTCTGGTAGTCCCGGTACCGCAGCACCAGCTGCACCAGCTCCAGGTCTCGGGTACTCACAGCTTCTTGAAGCACTGGGGGAGAGGGAGGAAATGTCACAAGGCAGGCGAGGATCTGATGCCGGGGAGATCCTGGCTGTGGGGCCGGAGTAAGCAGGGGTGCCTACCCGTCCAGCCGCTGCGATTCTCCCTGCCCACATCTGCACCGTGCGCCAGGAGTACTCGGGCACACTCAAGGTGCCCCAGCGTAGTGGCCAGGTGTAGAGGAGTCCGCCCACGGGGATCCAGCTGCTCGATGTCCACCTGGTGAAAGAGGTGAAGAGATAGCCTTGGTCACTTCTGAGGCAGCCCATCTGAGCCCAACAGCCTCCAAGCAGGTGGCAATCAACTGGCTGCCCTGCTTTGTCCATCTCACAAGGCAATGGAAAAAACAGACACAATGAGCTTGGGTCAGGTGAGCGAAGAGGGGCCTACAGGGCAAGTCAGGAAGTAACTCTGAGAAAGGGAGGGCCTTCCTTCTTTCCTGTCCACCTAGGTCCCCTGACTAGGTTCATTCCTCCGGTGTGCTGCCTGCGAAGAGTAAGCTTGGGGCTGAAGGGTGATCTAGAAAGGCTTCCGGTCAAGGAGGGCACCTGAGACAGGATCTATCCTAGGGGCCCAAGACCACGCCTTCAGGAAGGGCCAGCAATTTAGATCATTGACACTGAATGAAGGTTAGCAGACAATTGCAGTAATACATCAATAGGAATGAAAGAATATGTTCATCATACAACTTTGAACCCATGTCCTGTGCCTGTGGAATGCTATGTATTAACATTTTTATAAATCCTATTACTGTTTTGCAAATAGCATGATTACACTGTATGAGTTTCTGTTGGGTGATAAAAGCATATGTTTATTAAATATAAATATATAAATATATTTATGGAATCTAAGACTTCTAGTTAAATACAGTGAACTGATTGAATGCATGTAACTCCTCCTCTCCTTCCCAAAACTTGATTAAATGCCAGTAAAAGGCTTCTACTCCAACCATGATGAGATAACTAAATTACCCTTCAACTATGAATGGAGAAAACTATTGCCTCAAAATATACAAAATAATTGTTTTCAGATATTAAACAACAAGTAGTCCAAGGCTGTGATCCCTGAAATAAGAGAAACAAACAATATCCTCAGATTGCCTGGGTTTCTACCTGGAGGAATATTCAAGACTGAAATTCAAAGAGGAGAATCTCCAGCAGAACATGGTAGTCTCACTCAAGAGTTGAGGAAACAGAGACAATAGTTCAGGGAGACTGATGTAGCTAGAAGTTGCAGGGAAGAGTTCTAGGAAGGAATGAGCTATGCAACAAAATTGCTCCAGAAATCTTCATGGGGTCCCTTTGGGTCTTTGGTAAATACTAAACTTCATATGTGTAGAGTGAAACTCAACACAACCAGGCAGAAAAGGAGCAATAAGTTGATAAATTCTTAGAGCTCACCCAGGGCAAGGTGACGTTCAAGCTCCAACCTGCTACAGTGGAGAGTACTTGTTATTTACCCAGGGAGGGTATTCAATAGAGACCCAAGAAGGGTTATGCCTTAGTAGTAAGGCTAAACTATCTCTAGTGAAAAGGCTCACCTAGACCCAATCTAATAAAAATTTAAAATAAGCTGAAAAGGATTGAACTGATTTGCAAGTAACTTGGTCTGCCAGAATAAATCCTAACACTCTTTAAAGACAGACAATAAAATCCAGATGTGTAATATCACAACAGTGACCATGTCCAACATCCAGTTTAAAACTACTAGACATGCAAGGAAGAAGAAAAATATGATCCATAATTAGGAGAAAAATCAAGTAACAGAAACATATTCAGAAATAATAAAGATGATGAATGGCTTAATATGCTCAAGAGTTTAAAGGAAAACATGAACATAACATTTATGGGGAAAGAAATAGGAGGTAGCAAGTATAGTATCTGAAATGAAAAAACCACTGAGTGAAATTAACAGTAGATTAGACATTACAGAATTTTTAAAAATCAGTGAACTTGAAAACACAGCAATAGAACTATACAAACTGAAGCACAAAGGAGAAAAAAAAAATACTGGAAAACATGCAAAGAGCCTCAGCAATCTGTGAAATACTACAAGGCTCTACCGTAAGTATAATTGGAGTTCCAGAGGATAGGATAAGAAAATGGGGTAAATAAGGCAAATTTAAAGAAATAATAGCCAAAACTTTTCCAAATTTGTTTTTTTAAAAACCTACTGTAGTGGGTTGAATGGTGGTACCCCCATCAAATATATGTCTGTATCCTAAGCCCCAGAACCTATAAATGTGACCATATTCAGAAAAAGGTCTTTAGAGATGTAATAAAGTTAAGGATCTCAAAATGAAATTAGCCTGGATTATCCAGGTGGCCCCTAAATCCAATATCTGTCTTTATAAGACACAGAAAGGCAAAATACACAGAGAGGCAAAAGTCCATGTGGCAATGGAGGCAGAGACTGAAGTTATATAATCATAAGCTAAGGTATGTTTGGAGCCACCAGAAGCTTGAAGAGATAAAGAAAGATTCTCCCCTAGAGCTTTTGAAGGCAGTGACACCTTGAGTGTGGGCTTCCAACCTCCAAAATGATGAAAGAATAAATTTTTGTTGTTTTATCACACCCCGCCTGTGGTAATTTGTTACAACAACTAATACAGTGATATATCCACAGAACCAAGAAACTTAATGAAGTCCAGGCAAGACAAACATCAAGAAAACTACACCAAAACCCATCAAAATAAAATGCTGAAAACTAATAAAAAGATAAAAAGAAAATCTTAAAAGCATTTTAAGAAATGAGACACGCTATGTACAGAAGAACAAATATAGGATATACTATACACTTATCATCAGAAACCATGCAAGCTAGAAGACGATAGAATGACATCTTTAAAGTGCTGGGGGAAAAATGTCAAACTAGAATTTTATATCCTGTGAAAAGTATCCTTCAAAAATAACGGGCACATAAAAGAGTTTTGTGAACAAACAAAAGCTAAGAGAATTTATCACCAGAAGATGTTCAGGAAATGTTTAAGAAGTTATTCAGGTAGAAGAGAAATTATACCAGATGAAAACTTAGATCTATACAAAGAGTGCCCCAAACAAATAAATTTGTGAGTAAGTATAAGAATGTCAATAAAATATTTAAAACTTACAAGAATAAAGAGATGTCAACAGATGAGAAATTTCAGCACATCTTTAGAACACAGAAAGTGGCTGGGGCATCATTGACTTAGAGCAGTAGAGGGCACTCACAGGCACTCACAGAGGGGAACCCCAGTGAATAGCAGTGAATAATAGCAGCAAGCCAGATCACCCCCTAGCACCCTTGAAAGGTACAGAACATGCAGGCAATGGCAACACTGGAGATGAGAGTGAGATTCAGAGCTGAATACAGAGCACTGGTTAAAATTCAGAACCCCTGTCCCCACTATCCAATCTTGTAAAGCTGGGAGATGCTCCTCTTCCTCTCCATAGGATGCCAGGGGTTTATTCTCTGTAGAAATTGAGCTTGAGATGCACTGGACTCAGGGACATTGGCCTGAGGATGAGATCATGGGGCTGAAAACAGGTGAGCAGTGAAAACCCAGTCTCTCCCCTGCCTTTGGTCCTGACCCACTGGCAGCCAGACTACACACCACTGCTCCATCCTACCCCTAGCAGGAGATTGGTGAATTCTTCCTTGGAGAAACTAGAGGCACCAAAGACCTCTGGTTACAGACGTTGGAGAATCCTGCAGTAAGCAAGCAGGCCAGCTTGCCACCCAGTTATCTGACAGTAGCACCATGCATCAGTGAGCTCCACAGTCCCATTCTTAAATATGCCCCAATAGCCATGGGTAACTGGACATTTGAGGAAAGCCACCAACATGAAAGGAAACAAAACACGAACGTGGATGCTAAAAACCCAGAGGAAACACTGTCATGCAGGAAACAGAAGAGAACATTTTTGGAGGAAAACAGCAATTTACATCCTCAGAAAAATATGAAAAGATAATTGTATTCATGAGACAGAGTAGGACATCCTGACCTTCCATGACTTCTCCTCCCCTTGCTTTCTTCATTCCCGCTACTCCTGGACAGCTGCACTTGCCCCAGTTCTACCATCACAGAAAACAATACCTCAATTCACTCCCTTTTCAGGTAAAAAAAAAAAAATAGAGAGAGAAACAACTTTGAAACTGTGTTTATCTCTTCCTTTTTTCTCACCTTCCATATCTAATCCATCAGCAAAACCTGACCTTATAGGCTCTACCTTCAAAACAGATCCAGAGTCTTCTCAGTTTCACCGCCTCGCTTCCGTCCTGTTGTAAGCACCCTCTCTCTTACCTGGTGGCCTAGCTGCCTCCTCGCTGACCTCTTCACTCCTTATCTGGTTCCTCAGGTCTATTCTCTGCATGGCCCATCACAGCTTCTGCGATCCTTTGAAATGGTCTTCAGGCTCTGACACCCTTTAGCTTAAAACCTTCCCACGGCTTCTCATACAACAGCCCTGGACATCTCCTTGAACTCATGTGTTCTCCCACCTCTCCTCCAAAGTGCACCCCTGCACACCAGCCTTCCCGGCAACCATCTTCTCCTGAATACCCTAGATAGCCGCAAAGCTTTCTCCCTCACTTCACTCAGGTCACCACTCAAATGTCTCAAATGTCACCTCCTAAGAAAGGCCTGCCTTGACAACCCATCTTAAATGACAAGTGCTATTTATCAATTGCCCCTTATCCTACTTCAGTTCTCTTCCGACATTAAATTGCTTGTTTGTTTTTTCCTTGTCTCCCTCACCTAGACTGTAAGCCCCACAAGGGGAGGGTCCCTCTCTGTTTCGTTCAATGCTATATCCCCTGTCCCTAGACAGTACTTGGCACATAACTTGTGCTTAATAAATATTTGTTAAACAAATGTATAGATGACTATATTTAAGGGGCAATGGGGAGAGGCAATAAAGTATAAAATTGATAAGCCAACAAATAGTCGTAGAAGTATATTGTTTATAATTATGGAGGTCAATAACAGAACAGCCTAAAAAGTTCAAAGTGATCACCTCTGGGGAATGAGATAGAGAGGTGGGGAGAGGTGGAGTGAGGACGGCTGCTTTTCATTGTAAGCCTTCTAGCAAGAGTTAAATATTTTAAAACACGAGTATGAACTCCTTTATCAAAAAGAAAGCATTTTAAATAATTTATATAATTTTTATAATCCTGTGTTCGCATGTCTTCATTTTTAAATATTCCAGGAGCTTCAAACCAAACTGTGCCTGGCCCCTGTGGCTGAGATATGAGCGGCCCTCCTGCTGCTCCTCCAGGCCAGCTCCCCGCAGAGGGAGGCGCTATTTCCAATTTGCCTGTAATGGGTTGGGCTGGGCTCCTCAGTCCCGACCTGGGTGGGGTCCTGAGCCAGGGGGTGGGAGTGGTGAAGGACCTACAGTTTCTGAGCTGGCTGGGCAGTTAGTAGGAGGCCTTCCCATGGGGTTGCAGCTGAGCTATCCATGCCTCCCACTGGCCCTGCCCCACATGGTCTGCTGCTGCTGCTGCTAATAAGGCCCCAGGGAGCTGGCAGGGCACCCTGCCTGGCCCCAGGGCTCCAGATGCTGCCTGTCTCCCACCTCCTCAGGTACCTCAGCTCCAGGCTCCAGAGAGAGACTGGCACTGCCTGTGAGACAGAGGTGCCCCTCCGGCCCCCACTCCTCAGAGGCTCTCCCCACTACCCTCCTCAGAGTCCCTAAGGCACCACTGGGTTATGCAGGATGCATGTTCCAGGGCCAACATGCGTCCTGCATAACCCAGCCAAGCCCCAAAGAAGCTCCCCTGACCTGTCCAAAGCAGGGCCTGCAATAGAAGTGGCACCGTGCCCTGGGCCCAGGTGGGAGAATTCATTAATTTCCTCAGCAAAGGCCTGCAGCTATTTAATTGCTGGAATTAAGAGGTTTCCCATGAAACCTAACACCCAGCCCTTCCCACCAAGAGAATGGAAACTGCACCCCAGCAGGCCTCAGCTGGAGTCAAAAGCAGGGTTCTTTCCTGCTTAGGAGCCAGGGCTCCTTGGACAGACAGCCCCGCTGCTTTCATTCAAGCACACACCTGCGCACGCTCACAGCATGTGTGTACTGTTACCATAAGAATATACACTCATACTCCTGCCTCCACACTCACAGTACATGTGCACTGGAGGTATGCAAGCACGTTCGTGCCCAGCTGCCCTCTGGCTCTGCAGGTGTCTACTCATGTATAACACACGTTTGTTACCAGCATATTTGCACATATACACCCTTTGCACCCACATGCACTAGCAGGGTATTTTTCAAACTTGTTTAGCATTAGCAGAATCCCTTTGCTAGGTGCAATCTTGCAAGGACACACCAAATTTATAGACTAAACACAGGTGCTGGGGAAGAAGGGTGAGGGGCTCAGAGTGTGGGGCCTTGCCTGCTCAGCCTTTCTCTCCTTTCCCTGCCCCGTTTCTTATCCAGCCCCAGGAAGGACAGACAGATAGTTGGGTGTAGTTATTGCTTCTAAACTCTCCCGGTTGACCATGAGGTGTAGGGACAGGTATGCCTGAGTCGCTCAAGAGGGAGGGAGGCAGGATGCTTCCTTGAGCTAAGTTGAGCAGGTAGGGGTAGTACCTGCTAACTCTCCCTCTACCCTGCCCCCTCCATTCTGTCCCACACAGCCCCTCCCCTCATCCCAGACACATTGATTTTTGGTTTCCGGGGTTTGTGGCTCCTTCCCCTGAGCTTCCCAACTCACCAGCTGTGGTGATGGCCCACAACCGGAACTGTCCACTTTAAGGGGAGAGGGGATCACAGATGCTCTTGGCCAGCACAGATACCTTGAATGGGGCAGCCTCTGCCTAAGCATCCAGGGGCCCCACAATCCTATTTCTCCTGCCTCTAGGTCAGAAGGATGAACTGGAGAAAGAAGAAAGAAAGACCATGGTGGAAGCAGCCCCAGGAAGAAAGAAAATGTTCCCTTGGGACCACATCTGACCCCCCCACCCCGCTCTTCTCCGCCCTCCCACAGGGAGCTATGCAATCTAAACTCTACCTCCCATCCCAGGGAATACCAGGCACTGGGGACTCCAGAACCAACCTCGGGGCCTTGCCAGCCAAGGGGGAACTGGTACATCCCGTGGCCTACAACCTCGTCCCCTTCCCAACCTGGCAGGGCATGTGAATAGCAGGAAGCAGGGCACCCAGCAATTATTATACTGCTGGGTGCTAGCTAAGGGTGGTCACGGACCCTTCTCTTCACTAAAACAAAAACAAAAATGCCCACCGAGCACCTCCCATCTCCCTGCTACTCCCTGCTTCCAGCCCCCAAATGAGCTGGAGGAAGGGTGTGGCTGAGCAAAGCTCATGAACCTGCTCTGAAGCCTCATGCCATGCCCCTCCTCAGGGAGCCAGCATTGCCACGCCTGCCCAGAGGAGGGCCTCTGCGGGGCTTTCTTGGAGTAAAGAATAGGCAGCTACACCAAGTGAAGATAGGGAAACCCAGCTGCTTGCTGTGTGCTAGAGGAAAGCTGGCTGTTTTCTGTGATAGTTGGTGCCAGGAGAACCAGAAGTTGGGGACCCCCAGCTGGAATGCCAGGGGTCTGTGGAGGTTTCATTATGATGTTAGGTGGCTTCCCGCAGTCCCATCCCCTGCAGGAAATGGCTGGATTGGGCACCCTCAGCTCTCCCTGGGAACCTGATGCCCTGGGGACTGAGCAATGCACACTTGGATCCAAGTATCATTCTGGGTCAGTCTCGGAGCTAAGATACAGCCAGGAGCCTCTCTCCCGCCCAGACTGATTGGCACTCCCCTTATTGGCATCTCCAGAGTGAAGGAGATGACTGGTCTGATTCCTTTGTGGTTGAACAAGGGTTAACCTCAACCAGTGCCCTATATTCCCCTTGGCCTGGATAAGGGCAGGTGGTATCCATTTCAAGAAGACACGAACTCACCAGGGTGGAGGGGGTGGGGATGGAATGAATCTGATGCCTGGTTTCCGTGACAGCCCAAAGAGAAAAGAAGAGGAACACACTCAGCAGCCCTAAACAACCCTTAACTGCAGCGGGTCAGTGCTCCCCACCTCAACCTCACCCCAGCAAGAGGGCTGCTGACCTGAGTGAGGACTATCAATCAGAGGCTTGGGTGAAAGACTTTTCTTCTAGAGCATTTTGCTTCTCTCCAAGCTGCAAGAAAAAGACCACCCTCCCCTCCAACAAAGGAGTGCAGACTGAGGCATTCTGGAGATTCGGCCTCTAGCCCTCTGCCCCACAATCATTCAGCCCACCATCCTTCAACCATCCAATCAAGAAGTTCCTTTCAGATCAGACTTAAATCCCTCCAGCTGTAACCTCTATCAGAGGCTTGTCTTCTTTTGCCTTCAGGGGAGGAAAGCAGAGAATGGCCAGAAGAGACAGGGCTGTCTGTGTTTCAGCACCCTGCACCTCAGACTGTACTTCCCTGATCACAATTGCATCACCAGAACGAGGTCTCCTTGAGGGCAGGGGCTGTTCGTCTTTGTTCCCCAGGACCTACTACTTTGACTTCACTTCCTTCACCAGGCTTCTGTGGCTGAAAACTACTTCCTTGATGATGGACAGAGACATGAGCTGAGGGGCAACATGGAACATCCCTGTGTAAGCAGAGGTATAATGGAAGTGGACATTTCAACCAGCCTAAAGGTTTGGACCTAAAGGTCATTCCAACATTTCCTGGGACTGTTATGTAGAGCCGAATGCTATGCTGGCCTGAGGGCTCAGTAGTGGACTTCAGGGACACATTCTGACCCTCACCTCACTTGCTGTATAGTGATATCCTGCTCTCTGCCTCATTCTTCCCTTGGGAAGCAGATGGCTGCTCAGACTGAAATTCCTGTGACTCGGGAAGTGGCCCTCAAAAGGCATATTCCCAAAAGGGACAACTCCTGAACAAACTGCTCCCAGCCCATGGCCCCGAGGTCTCAGACCCAGGCCAAGTCTGCAGGCCTCAAGGTGAGACAACCCAGAGCAGGCTGAGCCAGTCTCTGGGTCCTGTCTCTCCACCCTGGAGAGTCATCGATGCCACGAGTGCCTACTTGTGGCCTGGAGGCCAAGGACAGAGTTGGGAAGTACCTGTGACCTGTGCCAGCCTTGATCCTGAAGAATGGTCAGGAGACCTCACCTTACTCCATCTTCTTGGAGGCCACCGTCCAGCCAAAGCTGGCTGACCCATTTGTTCTCACTAACTAGCAGGAACCAGAGCCCGCTGTGTGTGAAGAACCTCAAATCTTTCTTGTGGCCAGTGACCCCCAGCTTCCTCAGAGCCTAGAAGCCAGGACCCAGCACCAGAGGGCAGGAGAGCGCCTTTCAGCACCTGGACAAGGCCCTCAGGGCTTCCCCAGGAGGATCTCTCTCCACTCCCCATTCCGGAGCCCGCTCTGGGGTCTCAGGAATCCAGGGGCTCTGCCCAGTCTGAGTAAACAGACTCTTATGGTGAGAACAGAGGGCACTGGGTGGGGCTGGGATGCCTGGGAATGTTACACAGCCTATTCTCTGATCCTTGACTTGTGAACCACCCCCTCACCCCCCACGCAGGCCTTTCCCACCTCCACACACTCACGCGGGAGGTGTCGCTGCTCAGCTGAGTGGGGCCGATTCTCCCACTACAAGGAACACAGACCTAGCCGGCAGCCCCTCCCCGCAGCCCTCACTGCCCCAGGGGAGGAGAGGCACAGTGTCCCGTACCCCAATCTTAGAGGGTCCGGGACACATGCGGGTAGCCTGTCCCGGCCAGAGGGGAGCGGGCGGGGCCCGTCCCCATCACCCTCTCCCGGTCCACAAGCACAAAACCCGCGGTTCGAACAAAGAAGCTCCGCAAACTAGCCGGGGAGGCGGGACAGCCCGCGCCGCGCCCTCTCCCCACGCCCCGCGGGAGGGTCCCCGCGGCGCCCCAACAGCGCTCTTACCTGGCCGGCGCAGACCTCCTTCTCCAGCTCGCGGTGGCGGTTGTGCCACACGAGGAAGTGCAGCGGATACTTGCCCTCGGGCCCCTTCCTGGCGGAGGCGTTGGCGGGTATCATCGCCCGCTCCTCATGCCGGGGCCGCGGCGCCCGGCCCGGGAGGAGGCTCGGCGCC